TATGTTTTATCATATTGCTTTCATCAGTTAGTATTGCTCCGAATGTAATGCTTCCTATTTTATTATTGTCCACAGCATTTTCTGAGGGAAACGCTGAAAAATATTGCAATGCTGAAAAATTTAAACGTTAAAATTTAACATTTCTTTTTTATAGGACAAAAATAAAACGGTTTTAAAAAGAAACATTTAAGAAAGAACCATATTCACATGCTGAGAACAAAATTAATTTGAAATTTCAGCGTTCCAACATCGTCACCGTTTCCTCTCAGCGCATAAGAATAACCGATGCTAGCGTTTTTCTTTTTCCGCTCCGTTTCCTACACATATATAAATCCATCAACTTACCTGGCACAGGGTCCGTCCCTGTGCTGGTGGTATCACGGCTATGACTAGCTTAGACCAGCCCTGACAAGCTTGGACAAGCTCTGACCAGCTAAGACCAGCTTAGACCAGCGGCACGAGTGAAAACACCCGGGTCCCCACGCCAAAAACTGACCTTGTGTCCCAACCTGACTCAGTGGCGGGTGGTCAAGTAAATATCTATATAAATCCATCAACAGAAAACACAAAAACACAAAACACGTTATATTGATATTTTTTTCCAATTTGTCTTTCATTTGCCGAATATATATATATATATATATATATATATATATGATGGATTCGCCCGTCGAGTTCGACGTATGAGGCTTCGACGGCCACGAACAAATTATCTGCATGCCGATGACAGGCATGACTTTTGAGGCCGGCTCCAGAATTGCACAAAAGAACAGAAACAGTACAGGAGAATGTATTTTATCCAAGTGCAGCAAGAACACTGTTAGATGTCTTATTTTGCTTTCTCGTTTCATGTAGTCGACTGGTGCTTACTTCTCAAGTGCATCTATATCAATGTTGTACTTGTTGCCCTGGAGCGTTCGTACATTCCAAGTTCCAAGATGAAGTTGATGTTGTTTCGTAGAGTTTTTCGCAGTAGCCGGAAATGTGCGGAACTAATTAGATGCAGTTATCAGAAAACCAACACAATGACTTGTTTCAAGGGGTGAGGACTTGTGTCAGACCATCCACACTTTTGGGATCTGTCGATAAAAAAGTAACGGTGCAAAAGACTTGCCGCGGAAACTCCGAACCACAGTCCTCATGTGTTATCATCGCAGAGATTAATCTCTTCGGATCACAGCCAATAGCAGCCAGAACACGCCTCTCGACACATGCAATATAATGACCGGGTTAAGCTGTATTGAGTTTTATACATAGTCTTAATGCTAACATATATATATATATATATATATATATATAATTATATATATATGTAGAGAGAGAGAGCGTCTTTATTCTGTCATATATATATAGTCTCTATTCTTTTCTTTATTCTATCATATATATATATATATTCTTTATTTTATTATATATATATATATATTCTATATTCTATCGTTTATATATAACATATTCTATATTCTTTCTTCTATATATAGTCTTTAATTCTATCATATATATATATATACATATATATATATACATATATACATATAGTCTTTTTTATTCTGTCTTACATATATAAACTCTTTTACTTTATTCTACCATATATATATATATTATATATATAGTCTTTATTTTATTATATATATATTCTATATTCTATCGTATATATATATATATATATATATATAAAATTTATATTCTTTATTCCCTAATATATATATATATATATATTTTATATATATATATATATATAATCTTAATTATATATATATATATATATATATATATATATATATATATATACTCTTTATTCCGTCTTATATATATATTCTATATTCTTTTTCTTTATTCTCTCATATATATATTTATGTATTATTTATTCTATTCTATATATTCTATCGTATATATATATATATATATATATACATATATGTAGAATATGTTATATATATATAACATATTCTACATTCATTATTCTATTATATATATATATATATGTGTGTGTGTGTGTGTGTGTGTGTGTGTGTGTGTGTGTGTGTGTGTGTGTGTTGTGTTCGAAGTTGTGGTTTACAGGGCCAATGTTATGTCTTCTTCTGACATATGAAAAACTTTGCATGAGAAACTTATCAACAATAAACCAGCCTTAATGAACAATACTTTCTCAAACCACGTTATCGACGAACAATTAAAATTAACCTTAAAGAAATTTGGAAAAACAAGAATGACTAGCGCCATGAACTTATTCTATCATAACCAAATGCACCCTTTGTACAGACAGGATGAAAAAGAAATTAAAAAACCTAATTCTCCGTTACACGTCACTCAATGATCATAACAAAAAAATCTAAGATTTTCCATCTATTATAAAATGTTTGCAACATGTAAGTTAATTATCACCACTAAAACCGGGCCTCATAAATGCTCCTTTATGTAAAAATAAATGTTGTCTATGAATTCTCATGACCCTTGGGAGATTGCATCTGCAAGACTAATAATCAGAAAACACATTAAATACTTACGTTGGGCACACATCCACCACACTCTCACGCAGATTGACCTGTCAAATTTTAGTGCAATCCGTGCACACTTCGACCCACACATTATGAACGTCCAAAATGTAACTATCAACGTAATTCAAATATTAGTTATCAACACTAAAATACTCTATAGCGGCAGTTGCAAGGAAAAACTCAAAACTCGGCGTATGGATCAGTTATAACAAATTTATTATCTCTGCGGCAGAGATAGTTTCACCCAATACCGCCAGTTGCTACAAAACCAAAACATCAATGCGAAAACTTAAAATGCCGCGTCAGATCGAGGCTTTCATATGGATGTCACGCACGGCATAAAAACGTCTCTTTAGGACGTAGAGGTAGAATTGAACAATAGGCAATGTGACAAGAAATAGTCATTCCCTTTTTAAATATTCCTGTGGGTTAACTACTCTTTACCAAGAATATCAAAATATTTATCATTTTCTAAATTTTCTAAACGTGGTTACTCCAGTTTCTCATTCAAATACAGTGTAAATTGATCCTCCTTCTTTTCTTCTTGTGTGTGCAAATGTCACTTCAGGTCGTAGATGACGATGGTCCTCCTTCTCCTTCTGTCCCTTGTAGCTCTTAATCCACTTGCTCAAGCCCATTAAGTATGCCAGGTTTTGCTTTCTCTTATCCACTATCCATCTATCCGTCCTATGAGTCTCAGATTTTCCAAGCCCTCATTACGTGTCCTAGAAATTTCAGCTACCTTTTCCTGATGTTAAGTATAAGTTACCTCTTTGTTTCCATTCTCTCCATAAAGCTCGTCATTGCTCACACGCTCGGCACATAGTGTACTTGTCATCCTTCTGTAGAACCATATTTCTGCTGCTTTGAGTCTCATGTTCGTCTTTGATGAGATTGTCCAGCATTTGCTGCCAAACAGGATGACTGATATCACGTAGAAGTTCCGTACTCTGTTCTTTGTTTCCACCGAAACTCTCTATGTTGTAATACTCTGCTTAGCTTTTGGAATACACCTTTGGTCATCCCAGTAGATCTTCGGATCTCAGTGTCGCACTTTCCGTCCTCTGTCACAACACTTCTTAGATATTTCCGCACATGCTTGAGTGTCCCCGACCTGTAAATTGCATTTCGGGATCATCTTTTTACTGATGACCATGCATTCTTTCTTCTTGTAGTTTATGCTTAGTCCCTTATTCACGCTCTCCTTTGCTACCTTCTGTAGGAGGTTTTGTAATTTCCTTTCCGTGTCTGCTATCAGCACCGTGTCATCTACATATCTTATGTTGTTAAGATTGTGGCCGCTATTGATAAATCCTGATAGGATTTCCTGTTCTCTCAGAATTGCCTTCCTGTATAGGTTGAATAAGTCCGGCGAGAAGACACATCCTTGCCTTACACCCCTTTCTATTTCTGTATATCCACTGAACACACTTTTTATCCGTATGCAGGCGGTTTGCTGTCTAGAGATTTTTATTATTCTGATGTTTTTCTCGAATAACTCAAGGTTGCTGAGCAGGCCTAACAGATCTTTTTGGCGTACTTTGTCGGACTCCTTTGTGTAGGTCTATAAAACACAGCTCTCCTGAAAATCATTTTTCTTATTGCTTTTCTTCTTGCTCACACCTTCACGCGGATAGACCTGTCACCTGTTAAATTTTAATACAATCTGTGCACACATCGACCCACACATCATGAACGTCCAAAATGTAACTATCAACATAATTCAAATATTAGTTATCAACACCAAAATACTCTATAGCGGTAGTTGCAAGGAAAAACTCAAAACTCGGCGTTTGGATCAGTTATAACATTGCCATGAATGTTCTTTGGGAAGATAGTTATGAATTCAGACATTTCCTTCTCTTAGACTGTTTGCCATTCGAAGCTAGAGAGACCAGTGTTACCTACTATTTAACCCATAGCTAGGGGAAAAATTATATCCTTAGGGGTGGGATCTTAAGTGCGAAAATGAATAGAACAATGAAAATGAATAACCGATTCACACTACCTTTCGGGGTTTTTTTTTTTTTTTGTTTTTTAAAAAGGAGTAGAGGTCTATCCCATGTTTCCTGTTTAGGATTGTGTTTCCGGTTCCTTTATCCTAAAGCATTTCTCTTTCACTCCCCGTAAACTCCTTACGTCTTAGTGGCGTTATAGTCTTGCTTGAGGTGAGTTCAATACCTGGCTACGGCAGTGGTGAACAAAACTTGAAGAGTTGAATTAAAGGGATATAACTGAGACATCCGGAAGAGGCATGACACGTGGAACTAGAACAATCTGCCCCCGGTGGACGAAATAAAGGGTTCAATTTGAAATACCAATCGCTTAAAGAAGACCAGAGCGTACAACGGTCGAAACGTCGTGAACATGTCAATAAAGATGAGGCCAACAGTCCGAACAATGCAAATAATGTAAAAGAAAAAAAAAAGACTTGGTTGGAATTCGAACTCGCCTCGCCGATTCTACGTTCATGACTATAACCATTACAATAACCGCACATCGCTATTACAAGTTCAGTGAGCGAGAGAAATCCCCATCCACACAGAAAGAGAGACAGAGAGAGAGACAGAGAGAGTTTGTGCATATGTCTATGTGTGTGGGAGAGAGAGAGAGAGAGAGAGAGAGAGTATGTGCAACAAAAAGAAAAGAAAGAAAAATAGAAAGAGAACGAGATGATAAGCGAGAAGCTAATCTATAAACAACACATTCTTGCTTTTACCGTAAATTCTTTGATCTCTGGTTGAGGATGGGGTGCGGTACAGAATGAAATTTGGTGGAGAGATGTGCGCGCGGCGGCGTGGGAACAACGTTTCACTGTCACTTATTTATTTTATTTTATTTTATTTTTATTTTTATTTTTTTTTTATTTTATTTTTTTTTATTTTATTTTTATTTCTGTTTTATTTTATTTTTATTTTTATTTTTTTTATTTTATTTTATTTTTATTTTTTTTATTCTATTTTATTTTATTTTTATTTCTATTTTATTTTATTTTTTGTTTTTAGAGGAAAAGCACTTTGGTTAACTCGGTGTCTTCAAGATATTTACCGGGCGGTGTTGAGAGCAACGTTTCGGTCTTCCATATTCGACAGAATACAATTGATGGCGAATGTAGAGGCGGCCTTCAGGGAGAACAGCGTATAAAAGTGAATGATGTAAAAAGATAAAGAGAGAGATGAAAATGAAAAAAAAAAACTCTTATTATTAGAAGCAACGAAGAAACAAGAATGAAAATATATCTAATTCATATTAATAATTAATCATAGCCTTTGTCAATTAAATTTACACTAACTCTTGACCCTCTCCTATACGGCTCAGAGTCATGGATCACTTACCGACACCACCTGCGACTCCTCGAACGGTTCCACCAGCTCTGACTCCGCACGATCCTTAACATACACTGGCTTGATTTCGTCTCTAATATTGAAGTTCTTGAAAAGGCGAACATCACTAGCATTGAGGCTATGCTGTTGAAGTCCCAGCTGTGCTGGGCTGGACACGTTTCCAGGATGGAGAATCATCGCCTGCCTAAAATTTTATTGTACGGCGAGCTCCCCACTGGCTATCGTAGCAGAGGGGCAACAAAGAAGCGAATCAAAGATTGCCTGGAAAATCCTTTGTTCCCTGTCAATGGTCAACCCTAGATAAGAACCGTGACACATTGCGTCTCACCACCAATCATGCTGTCTCCTTTGTTTTAACATAACTGCAGGGCCGCAAGAGGCAGAGGGGGGAAGTATTGCAATGCTATGCCATCGAGCCCAGGCCAGCCAGACTTTTAGCTGCAACTATTGCGACCGAGTATGCCTTTCCCGCATTGGGCTTATAAGTCCAAGTATTAATGCAAGCTTTCTTAAGGGAGTCCTTTAGGCATTTTTTTACACGTTTTCGGTGTTTACAAGCTGGTCGTTTTCCATCTCACTCTCTCTCACTTCTGTTTGCCTCGGGGTTCTTGATAGCCTACAGAGGCGGATATGCAATTTGGTTGGCCCTGCCCTGATGTCTCGTCTACAGTCGCCTTCTCACAGACGCGCGGTCGCCTCCCTCTGTCTGTTATACAAATACTTTCATGGAAATTGCCCCGAGGAGCTGCATTCGCTGGTTCCCAGACGTCATGAGGTCAAGCGCCCTACGAGGCTGGCATCCCGCTCTCACCCCTTCACTGTCGAAACTCCTAAATGTAGCCGTCTCTTCTACTCTAATAGCTTCATGTCTCGCACCTCTCGCCTGTGGAACTCCCTTCCCTTCTCCTGTTTCCCTGTGAGCTATAATCTCCAGCTATTCAAGTGTAATGTCAATCGACATCTCCAGTTGCCTTGATCTATCCTCTACTCTCATCCTTTCTTCTATCACTCCTATCTGATCTTGCTATTTCCTGTAACCCCTTGCATCCTAGTGGCTTCCCGCCTTGCTTGGGGTGAAACGCTTAATATATATATATATATATATATATATATATATATATATATAATATATATATAGAAGTTAATGGTGAGAGTTGAATTAGACCTGGAACTATTAGTATTAAATAAGTTCTCAATACACATATAAAAAAGATACTAATGCAATATGTAGTGGTTTTAAGTATATAAAATTAGAAGAACAAACGATTCAGCTACCTTGGTTTCAACCTTACGGTATCTTCAGGCGATTTTTGTCAATGGATTTCCTGATGCTTTATTTTTCAAAAATGAAAAAAAAAATATGAACGTTATATTTTTAAAAAAAATGGAGAAGTGCACGAACGTGATGGGTGGTAGAAGTTGAGGTGGTGGTGGAGAAGGAGGGAGAAAATCAATGGTGGATTAAATGAAATATACGTTCTTTTTTATCCTACTTCAAAAAATAAAGTGTTAAGAAATCAATTAATCTAAATCGTCTGAAGATACCGAAATGTTGAAACCAAGGTAGCGGAATCGGCTGATTTCTTAATTTTAAATAAATAAATAAATAAATAAATAATAATAATAATAATAATAATAATAATAATAATAATAAAAGTTAATGGTGAGAGATGAATTAGACCAGGAAACAGTAGTATTAAAAAAGTGCTCAATACACATATGAATAGATAAAAAAAAATCACATATAAAGCTTTTAGGTACAAAAAGTTAGGAAATCCGTCGATTAGGCTACTTTGGTTTCATAGCATTGTGGTTTCGGTAAGTGACCCATGACTCTGAGCCGTATAGGGGAGGGTCAAGGGCTAGTGTAAATTTAATTGACATAGGCTATGATTGATCATTAATATGAATTAGATATATTTTCATTCTTGTTTCTTCGTTGCTTCTAATAATAAGAGTTTTTTTTTCATCTCTCTCTATCTTTTTACATCATTCACTTTTATACGCTCCCCTCTCTTTCTCTCTCTCTCTCTCTCTCTCTCTCTCTATATATATATATATATATATATATATATATATATATATATATATATATATTATATATAAATATAAAGAAGTTTTGTTAAACAACCCCGACAAGGTCGGTCTGTTCAATTTTTTATTATGTTTTTACAATTTCCCACTAAGTTGCTTAATGTCAGAATTAAAATTGGTAAAATTTCTACTGAAAAGAAATGAACTTCGGAAAGTTTAGTAATTTTAATTCTGACATTAAACAACTTAGTTGATAATTAACAAATATTTCTTCTATATGTAACTAGCAGGCTTCGCTCTCGCTTCGCAAAGCAAGATATATTCACTACTTGAAATTTCATTCATAAATTGGCTTGTTATAGTTAAAGAAAGTTTTACAAATAGATACCAACTTGTTGAAGGCCAAGTAAAATACAAATTTCAAAGATTTTTCTGCACTATATAAGACAATATTCCTAAACAGAACAATTTTTTATATAAAAATCAAAAGAATCCTCGAATAAAAGAACAGAAATGAAGGACACTAAGTTAATGAAATAATCAATATGCAAATTAGTTAAACCTGAAGGGTGATATTGTCTAGAAGTCGATAATATAAATATTGAGCCTTTAGCGCGTAACTTACTCTAAAGTAGAGTCGGGGCTTTTTTTTATCCCAGAATTCTTTGGATAATTGAGCTCCAATTTCGCATTTATTTATATAGATTCCATAATGTACGTTTTACTTAATTAGCTATTATATTTCTCTAACACTTCCAATGTTGAATGTATAACTAATTCTATTTTCCCATCTTTACACTATATTAATTTTATCTTATAAATTGTCCGCTGTCCTGTCACGCATGAAATAAAAATAATTGTTTGTACGGAAAATAAGGATCTACGTACATCAAATCGCCTTTAAGTGTTAGCTGAAAAAATATCGATGAACTTTTAAAAGTTAAGCTTAAATATTAATTCAATACTTAAATGCAGCGATCAGTTTTGAATTCTTCTGTAGTTTATTGATGCCTATCACATCTACTCCTCCCTAGCTATTGTGATGATGGACAAACCAAGAGTCCTCCAGAGGAGCCAGTTGAAATGCCGGCCGATAGGGCGGCCTATAAGTTATTTTATAATAAATCATTCACTGCTACAAAAGGAAAATAAAGAGTTACTCTCCTTGAACCATGAAAGCAACGATAATGGCTAGTATAATATATTAATATATATTTTTAAGCTCGCATTATCTGGCAACCCTAGATCTGAGGGCAACGAAAATCATTCCACGCGCCTAATTTTTTCAAGGGCTTTTAAAATAATCTATGGATCATTGAAATCGGACCAGTGGGAGCGGAGTCGTTGCTTGGATACACACATATAGACTGTACTTTATATATAGAATATATATGTACGTGCGATGGTCTGCGTGTGAGCGCGCGCGTATATATATGAGGTATAAATTTGTTCAGGCAGAGTCCAAAAATAGACATGACTGGGTATGAAAAGTGGCCCACTACGATCTGTACAAACCAGTAGTGTATAAGCAGCATGTCTTAGAGAATGTAAAAAAGGTAATATAAAAAGTTATGAAAGAAAAGTAATGAGGTAGGCTGTGTTAGGGTAGGAAAATTCATAACTTAGAATCTAGAAAATGTTATAAAGAAAATTAATATTTTCATTTAAAAAAAAAGATAACATCATAAGTTTATGTCAAGCCACACGACACACACAATCGAGGCGGAGAAAAATGGAATCCAACCTGTCGACGATTGCCTGCCGATCGTTCGGCACGCTCGCGCTCGCCGATGCTATGCGAATGTTGAAGAAAAACGAAGCTTGTTACACGAAGCGCATTCACCGCTTAAGGCAGGCCGGGATGGGGGCGGGCATCCGCGCGTGCGAGACGGCGAGCCAGGCAGGTAGCGCGAGTGATATTGGTACCATATAACCCGTTCCCGACTTGGTTTTTCTGGTGTGGAAAAGGGCTAGACACAGAGCAGGATTAAAAAGGGTGGATGAACTTCTAGAGTCAACGGCCATCTAGCACAATGGAGTAAATGCTATGCATACAGCCGGTGCGGTGATGACACAGCATCTCCGGGCGGACGGCTTTCTAGACAGAAGGTTCCGCCGATTTAACCAATAGTCACGCGTCCATGAACAAGACGAGCCTTCAAGCTGGAAGGCATAGGTTGTAGTTTGACCTGGAGAGGTGTGGAACCCTCTAGGTGTACATGCCTAAAAATACCTCTGAATATTTATCCTGGCTTTCAATCCAGGTATATAGAGGAAACCGCTCAAAGTTTCAGTTACGCTTCAACCCTTCGACCACAACCGATAAGGAACTGATAATGATGATGATGAATAAATAAATATTTTAATTTGATTATTATCGTTATTTAGTCATTTTTTTAATCGTTTCATCCCAAGCAAGTCGATAATGCCACTAAGACGTTACTGGGAGAGAAAGAGAATAAGAAGACTTTAGTGAGGATGATTGAGGAAAGGCCAAAAAAATGAATATGGTTAAAGAAGACAAAATTACAAACGGCGCTTGTCATAGTCTTGCATAACACCGTAAGTTGCTACAAAAGAAAATCATTGACCTAAGAACTCATGTCATGTTTTTAAATAACCTCGTCTGATCAAACTTTTCATATGGACGTTAAGCATGGCGCCAAATCCGTTAAGAAATATCTAAACTGTCGGCTGTATGTAACCGCTTTCTCAGATCGATGGTTTTGAGCGAATGGTGCCAATAGGTTCTTAGCGAGGAACATTCCTATTCGAACCTTGCGAAATGACGCTACAGAATCCAAATAAATAACTATACC